TAGATACTAGCTCTTTCCATCTGCTCCCCCTTGATAAAAATTGTGCTTGAGGTTCATTATACCTTCCCCCTGTGGCCTTAAAACTCTTTCTCCCACCAGACTTCATAAATGACTGAAAGGTGTGCATTGCCTGATTTTTCTTACTTCCCATTCCCCACAGAACTCTCTGAATTATGGCTCCTGAGTGTACCGCTATGTGAAAATTGCATTCCTAGTGGTCACCAGAGAACTGCTCTTCATTGCCTTTCTTCAGTTTCCTATGTTCAATCTTTTCAGTCTCTCCTCACTTAAAATCATTCCGGTAATTTACACATTGAATAAAGAGAGACAGTTTGCAGTATTCTGAAAATGGCCTGGAGACCTGACTCCAACACTTACTAGCTTGGAAACTATAGCCAAGCTACTGGACCCCGTCTCTCTGTCACTTTGACAGCAAAGTGGAGAAAGGCATAACAGGTGTTTTGAGGAGTCAGTGAGATTCCACATGGAGGCACTTACAGAAGGCTGGACACACTTAGGATTACATTTATAAAGTTGGACAACTCTCTTCTCATTTCTGATGCTGTGTTTTCAGGCCAGGTCTTTCCTCTCTTTTCAGAATATTCCCTTCCTATGCTCTTCACTAGCACCCATTTCTCTCCCAATCTCTAAATTTTACTGAAAAACAAAAAAAAAATCACCCTTTGCCCCTAAGGTCTCCTGCTATTTCTATCTTCTTTCTCAATAAACACGATTACTGGCATTTACTGTGAAATCACTGTACACAGGGATCTGTACTAGTGCTCTCTAAAATTACCAGTGACACTCAAAATCAATTTCCACGAAACTACACTGAGCCTTTCACCTTCCTGAGCTAATATCTCTTGCCATTCCTCTGCTACCATTTATCTGGCTACCAACAGCCAAATTCCAAGTGTTATCTTTCATTCTTGTTCTCCTTCACCCCCTGTGGTCAATCTGAAGACATGTTCTATGTTTTTCTCCATTGTGACATCTCCTGTTGGGATTTTAAGATTGAATTCAATATGTTTGAGCTTGGTTCACTGAGAAACCTACCTCCTAGGGCTGCCCTGTTGACAACTGGAAAACGGGTTGCCTGACCTCATCCCCAAAGGCCAAGAGGCTATGAACTCCTTAAAAGAGACCCTGTGGCTCATAAACTCCATGGTCCCAGATTATTCTAAAAATTATCATGAAGTACATGAGATCAGAAAATTTGGACAAGTAAGGGAAAAGAGTTTACACTTACTGCCAGCTTGCTAAGTATTAGGAACCTTGCAAAGTACTGTTGCTTCCAAGGTATAACAATATGATTTTTTTAAATACAGAATCTATGATGTCACGTTGGTCTTTCCTATGGCACTTCAGAGGACAGTGGTTCACAGAGGTGGCTGAAAAACTATGCTCTTATTTTGATCTGTCACTGACTTCCCAAAGGTTGACAGCTTTAGAGAAATGGAAGCCACGAGGTAGCTCCTGCTATTCTAATGCAGGAATCATTATTTCACAACTGGATTTCTCATTCACTTCTTGAATGATTCATTTGACAAATATTTATTGAGTCTCTACTCTGTACCAGGCCTGTGCTGTATGTTGGTGATGCAGCTGAGAGGTGTTGAAAATTCAGAAAAGACAGCAATACAAGTAAAGACAGAGGATCAGAAGGAGATATAGGAGCATGCAGAAGGAAATTCCTCTTAGATTAGCAGGTTTTACCTTTCTCCTTTGTCTCAGCTCCATCACCTCCTCTCCATCCCTACTGTTACCACCGTCATCATTTCACACCTGTATTTCCACAATAAGCTCTGTGCCTCTAGTCTTACCGTAACCTTCAATTTGTCCTCCACACTGTGGTCACGGTCATCCTTCTCTGATGCAAATCTGAGAGCGTCTCAAACTTGCCAACCATCCAACACTGCCAGCCTGTTGCATAAAGTTGAAGCTCTTTAGCTTAGGATCACTGCATTCACACTCGAACCCTGCTCATTTCTCTGGCTTGATGTTGTGCTACTCCAGGGAGCTAAGAACCTGCAGCTCTCACTTACAGCCACACAGAACTGCTTCTAGTCCTCTTACTGTTTGTTTTCTGCCAGGAAAGCCCTTCTCTTCTTCTTCTTCTTCAAGACTCAGCTCACATCAATCTCCCTAAGACACTTTCTTAATCTTCTACCTTCTAAATCTTCCTTTATTTGGACGCCCTCCCTCTGTGCTTCTATTATGTCCTGGGCACATCTTTATCAAAATGCTCACTCCATAGCATTCATTATTAGTGTGGTCCAGGTACTATTCAACCCTGTATGGTCCTAGCCACTAACAGTGATGACTAACAGTTACCCTGAGTCCCGAACATCCTCATATCCTCATCCTGAACAGGCCTAACATGGCCTTCTGTCCCTAACTGGTAAAAGAGTGTTTAGTTTTTAAACTGATTTCAAAGCTCACCTGGTTGAATCACTCAGAGAGGGGGAAAAAAAAAAAAAAAGGCCCTTACACATATGTATGTATTGTCACTCAGCTTCCCCTAAACTTAGCAGTTCATCAGACTATGCCATAAATATATGTTTCCTCCTCTTGGAGGAGTGGGATCAGTTTTTACTTCCTTATGTGTTTTTTTTTTTTCCCTCCCAAGCAACATCACGTAATAAGTATTGACATGTGTTTTGTGAGCACTGGGAAAATACAGGAGGAAGGAATGCTGCCTATAACACACATGTTAAGAGCTCAAAGTTTAATCCAGCACTATCCTATTTTCTAGTTCATGTGTCTTAATCTCGCATTTACGACTGTATCATAAATTCTTTCAGGTTGGAGCTCTGTTATACATGTTTATATGAACTATAGCACAATGCTAAATACAGGATAGGTGGTCAAGAAGTACTTGTAAATAAAATCTGAATATAATCAAAACAAATTGATATTGCAGGTGAAGGGGGAGGAAATATATTGCCACAGTAAATAAAAGCTCTAACAAAGAGAAAAAAAATCTTGATCTCTTCTTGCCAAGATTTTCAAACAAACAAGAAAAAGACTATTCACCAAGGAATGAAAAAGACATGTGCAGATTATTGTATTTAAACTTCCTCTATGCCAATTTCAACGTGAAAATATTTCTGAAAAGGTCTTTTTACTTCACTAGGTATTTGGAAAAGACCCCAAAAAAGACACTTTCATGTTCCTATCTTACTGAATGACTTTTTAAAATGATTAAAGTCAACCTGTTTTAATAATTAAATGTCCCTTTCCCACTTCACCCTTTTTTTTCTCTCTCTCTCTTTTTTTTCTTCTTTGCTTTCTTTGCTTTCTGGCTTATGAATCAAGATCTTTTTTATGTCTGAACTTTCTCAATTAATCTCATGCTTTCTCCCACCTCAAAGAAGTCACGATAGGTTAAAACTTAAAATATTGCCATCTAAAGGAACAGTAGAGATGGCCTCCTCCTGGCGTAACACAGGGAAGACAACCCCCTTGGATAACCAGTAGGCACGGACATTGGATCTGGGCTTCCCATGCTTGCTCAATGGTGTCAACTTGGCTCCCAGATTCTCCACACACTTCTTATAATCCTAGTCTTGGAGGTATGAAAAACCAAAAATGCACCTGTCTGCCCAGCTCACCTTCCAAGTACAAACATATCAAGATGAAGAAACTTTCACAGACCCAAAAAAAAAAACTATTTTGTGATTATGCCGAATGACAGCCCAGGAGGATTTTATGCTCCAGTTGTGGCATTCCAGACACCTCCAACCATAGATGAAGAAGGACAATATAGTTACATGAATTCAGTGAAGGCTGCAAAGTACCTCACCTCACAGTCACCTCTTCCCACCCTAACTGACCTCTGGTCACATCTCTCCCAAATGGCCATCAGCTGTCCCTTCTCCATTCCCCTTTGTCCCAATCCTGGATTCATCACACGCTGACCCAAACATTGCGCTGTTTCAAAGAGCTATTCCATTTGAGGTTTTCCCAGGTGCTGGCCCACATTCTGCCCTCTGAAACCCTGCCCCAGTGAGTCCCAATATGTTAGGGAATCCTTTTCTCCGGACCTTTTTCTCCTGACCAGAGATGTGCAGAATGGTGCCCGTCCACCAGCTAGATACTAGACTGCAGGCGGCAGGGAATCTCTTCCACCAAAGAGGTTGAAAGGGAAAACAATATCCCCACAAAGAAAAATGCTAACCCAGAATCCTTCACATATGCCACACGTGTGTGTCATAAAATAAATAAAGCCTCAGCTTCCCCCAGCCACCGCTGCCACCGCAGCCCCAGTGCCGCGGCAGTGGTGTGCGTGAAGAGAGCACCTTCCCCGGGGAGGGGAGCTCCTGGCTCCCAGCGTTTCTAGGAGGTGATTATGGCAAGCCTTTCAGTAACTCATCATTCATCCCCGCACTGACCTGAGCCTCACCCCGGCGCCTCTGGCACCACGCTGAACGAGAAAGCCCCAAGCTGTCCTTCCAATTCTTCAGGTGACACCCCCATATACACTACTATGCTCCTAGGAGGGCAGAAGGGGAGAATGGCAGGTGCCCATACCTAAGGGAAAAATCAATGGCAACGCTTACAGCTAGGGGTGAGAAATCCCAACCCCCGCCGGGTGGGAGGACTTGGCATCTGCTACCTGCAGGGCGCCCCCGCCTGCACGCCCACCCACACGCACCCGCTAACGTCGCAGCAGCCCCGAATGCAGTCAAGATGATGAACAGGACCAAAGAACCTCCACGCCCCCTTTGTCTCCACGTTTCCCAAATGACATGGGAGGAAAGTTTACGAGCAGGGAGGAGGTAGCTTTCTGCTGGGGCAATCTGACACCTCGTGGGAGACCACCCTCCCTGTGATCGCCCTCTTCCCCTGCAAAACCCCGGCGCCGCCTTCATCTGCACCTTGAAACCCACAAGCCAGGCGTGGGCCACCTGCCGGTGGCGTCCAGCGGGGAAGCTGCCCCAGCCGCCCAGGCGCTTCGACTTCCTGGAGCTGCCTGCAGCTGCCGGCGCCGCACTCACCTCCGGCGGCGGAGCGTCTTCCCATGTGCCCTGCTGGGCAGTCGGGCTCCCAGGAGCTCAGTGCATTCAGGCAGCTATCGGAGACACGCTACCCTGGCGCTGCTGCATTCCGCCTGCGTGGGAGAGCAAGCCGGCGAGCTCAAGGCGCGGGCGTATAGGAGTGTGTTTGTGCGAGTGTGCGTGTGCGTGTGTGTGTGAGAGTGTCAGTGTGTGCGCGCGCGCCCGTGGGGCGGGGGTGTGCGGGATCACAGATCCCCCTCCGCGCCCATCCCGCGCTCTGCCTCTTCCGCCGCCTCCTCCCGGTGCTGCCGCTTGCACAGGGTCCAGGTTTCAAGATCTCCGGTTTGTTTAATGAAAGGAAAGGAGCAAAAGGCTGACCAGGAGGAGGCTGAAAGGGGGGCAGAGAGGCGGGGAGGGCGCCGGGCTGCGCATGCTCAAAACGGGACACTGAGCGCTGGTTCTGAAGCCAAGCCAGAGCGTAGAGAACGAGAGAGTGAGGAGAGTAAGACTGCACCCACCCGACCTGCTGAGGCTTGGCAGGGTTCCCGGTAGGCAGCGGGGAAACCCCGCAGCAAAGGTGCACTTTCCGCGGGGACTCCGTGGTGCCTGCGGCGCTGGAAGGGGGGGGCGGGTTCCCCGCCCATCCTAGAAGACTGATTCTGCTACAAGTCTTGGGTAACGCCGGGCGTTCCTCTCCCTGTGTATTTTTAGTGCTGGCGCAGGGATTCCTTAGGGCCCCTATCTTGCGTCTACCCCGCAGGCGACCTTGATGCGTATCCCCAGAGGTCCAGAAGGAACACAGGCTGCAGGACACGCCTGAACTAAAAGGAGTTGCTTGATTTGAGCTTCTTTTTTTCTTCTTCCAACTTTCACTCTGTGAAGAGCAGAAAAAGGCAACGTCCACTCTGGTCCCAAAACATGTTTGAAAGCTAAAGAGGTGGGAGAGGCGCACAATGACCCTCTCCCAAAGAGGGAATGGAAGAAAGGAGTCTCCGAGGATCCTTACTCAAGCCTCCTTTGGTGACAAGGTTAGATGGAAGAGACATTTGGCCCCATTCAGGAAGGCAAAAAGAACAATAGATCCATTGTCCCCTTGCCTCAACCCCCAAAGCAATTCTAGGTCTTAGTAAGTGGGGCTCCTGGCCACTTAGTAAAGTCTACTGGAAGGGAGTCCAGTGAGAGAACCTGAGCCTGAAATGGCACGGTAACCTGAGGCCTGAGGAGGCGCTGGCTGAGGCTTAGCAAGTGGAGTGGAAAGTCTTCTTTGGTGAGATTGTTCTATGAGGAAAACAGGTACATGGTTGAACCTACCCAAGAGCTTCCATTTTCAACCTCTTCCCTGTTTAATCACTCTGTGTGTTCCCCTGTTTTCTCACCTCTGGAAGAAAGATATCCCAGGAAGGAAACTCCCTGTAAAGCTATTCCTAGCTCCTGTTTATTCATGTTCTGTCCCTCCTAAAATAGATCATATTGGGGGGGGGATAGAGGGCAGCCTGCCTCTGCAAAGCTTTTCCAAGCTTTCATTAACGATCACCTCTGGGTACTTCCACTATGCAGTGCAAGCGAACAGATGCCTTC